TACTAAAAGCACAAGACAAGAAACCAAACCCAATAAGCAAAGGTGTGTAATGCCCTGACCACAGGAGCCAAATGCCAAATAAGAGAAGAAATAAAAGGATGTTACGTTTCATAATGTATATTTGTTTGTCTACGTTTAAAAGCAGCAAGTTTACGAGGAATTGGTATTGGTATATCTCCAGAGAGTGTTGAAAGGGGACCCAATACAAAATTCCTTGTATTCGCTCTGGGGTGTGGTATCGTGAGCTGGCTTGTTTTTAATGTACGCCACCCTAGACCATCAAGCCACCAGAGAATATCAAAATCTGCAGGTCGGTTACCTTGCCGGAAGCGTCCTAATCGCACTTCAGCATATTTCAGACGGCGTAACAATTCAACTGGTGCGGTAGAGACTTGACCACAAACAACAGCATTCCAAAATGTACCCCGAACATACTGCCCACAAGCAGGGTTAACACTAACTGAACTCCAAACTTTAGGCTCAAAGCCTCGTAAAGAGGTCAGCGTTTGAACAATCCGCTGCCAATGATAGCGGTGAGGTGCTATATTACAACCGACTCCGAGCCAAACTAGACCTGGTGTCCAGACAGATATGGATTTTAGCATTTATGTTTTTGAACCAAGTACTTGATGCATATCGTAGAGTCCTGGTTGCTGTTTTGCAACCCAACGCGCCGCACGTAATGCGCCTAAGGCAAATGTATCACGGCTTTGGGCACGATGCGTTAGTTCTAAGCGCTCTCCAAGACCTGCTAAATAAACCGTATGGTCACCAACAACGTCACCACCACGTAAGGTCATAGCACCAATATCTGATTGAGAACGAGCACCGGTAATGCCTTCTCGACCAGTTACAATGTTATCTGCTGTTGGGCGTTTTGCTTGAATACAGCGTAGTAATGCTTTTGCAGTTCCCGAGGGGGCATCTTCTTTCCAACGGTGGTGCATTTCTAAAACCTCAACATCAAAATCGGGACCTAAAGCAGAAACAGCATCTTCGACCAATTTTAATAATACATTAACACCAATACTCATATTTGGTGCCCATACAATAGGGATTTTCGTTGCAAACGGTGCAAATAATTCGGTAACAGATTTTGTAAAGCCTGTTGTGCCAATGACAGCAGCAATACCTTGTTCTGACGCATAGGCAAGATGTTTAAGGGTTGGTTCTGGGCGTGTAAAATCAACATAAACGTGTGCTTGTTGAAGAGCTTCTTGCATAGTTGCAACGACACCATTTTGACCAATTACCGGGTGACCTTCAGATTCCCAAGCACCGATAAGCTCAAGATCTTCAGCTGTTTTTGTTAAGGAGACAAGGCGTTGTCCCATTCTGCCTGCAGCTCCAGCAATAGCTATATTTATTGACATCGTTTTTTATTACCTCGTTAATGTTAGGTCTTGTTTTAGCAGTGCTTGACGCAAAATAGACTGAGATTGAGGAGTAATACGTACAAGAGGTGTTCGTAGATCTGCACAGGGTAATAATCCTAATAGATATAGTGCTTCTTTGATAGGTGCAGGGTTTGTTTCAATAAATAGTGATTCAATCAATGGAAAAAGTTAATGATGAATTGTACTGGCTGTTTGTAGGTCTTTGGCTTGCCAAGCATCCCACAGAGCTACCATTTTGTTGGGCAAAAGTTGACCAACAACACTGATGACACCACAGCCACCAATAGAGAGTATAGGTAATGTCATGGCATCATCGCCTGCAAATACAGAAAATGGTCTTTCAAGACGTCGCAAAATATCTGTACAGGTCGTAATAATACCTGTTGCTTCTTTAATACCAACAATTTCTGGTAATTTTGCTAACTCTGCAACAGTCTCTGGCTCTAAATTAATCGCTGTACGGCCTGGAATATTATAGAGCACAAGCGGAAATTGTGTTGCTTTAGCAATCGCTTCAAAATGTGTAAGGAGTCCCGCTTGAGTTGGCTTATTGTAATAAGGCGTAATCAGTAAGGATCCATCTGCGCCTGCTTCTTTAGCAGCAGTGGTTAATTCAATTGCTTCTGCTGTTGCATTAGAGCCCGTACCAGCAATAACCGGTACGCGGTTGTTACTAGTCGCAACAACTGTTTTGATCACATCATGATGCTCTTGATGTGATAATGTTGCACTTTCGCCGGTAGTGCCACAGGGAACAAGGCCATGAACTCCAGATTCAATAAGATGGTTACAAAGTGTTGCTAAACAGTCATGATCAATAGACCCATCCTCATGGAATGGTGTGACTAATGCAATATAGATACCTTTAAACATAATACGTTCCGCCCTTAAATTGTCTATAACTTATTTACTAAACCAGGATCTAGTTCTTAGTGTCAAGAAGATAGCGGCTGCCAGTTAAGTTGGTGTTGGTCTCTTTGTAAAAGTGAGTCCATTGTCTCACGGTGACGTAAAACGACAAATTGATTATTTTTGACAAGAATTTCAGTAGGTCTTGGGCGTGTATTATAGGTTCCTGACATAACAGAACCATAGGCACCTGTACTCAAAAGTGTCAGAATATCATTAGGGACTTGTGGTGGTAGTTTGACTTGGCTCGCTAAAACATCAGAAGATTCGCAAACTGGCCCAACAAGATCAACAGCTAAACATTCGTTAGTATCTTTTACGGTCATTGGTGCAACGTCATGATGTGCATCATAAAGCGCCGGGCGTAATAAATCATTCATGGCAGCATCAACGATTAATAGCTGTTTACCACTAGCAGTAGTTTTTGTATAGAGAACTGTTGTACACAAAATACCCGCATTACCAACAAGCCAGCGACCAGGCTCTAAAAGCAGATTGCCTGTAAAAGAGGTCAATTCAGTTAGGACGTCTTGAGCTAATAGGCGAATATCTAGAGGTTGTTGCTCCACTGTATATTGAATACCAAAACCACCACCTATATCGATATGGCTAATATTAATATGTTCCTGCTGTAATTCTGTTACTAAGAGCTGAACCCGTTTTAATGCAGAGATAATAGGTTGGTGAGACAGTAGTTGACTGCCGATATGAAAGGCAATGCCACTAATATGAATATTTTTTGCCTGTAGGAGCCGTTGGTAGAGTTTGCGTGTTGTTTGTATATCAATACCAAATTTTGAGCCCGCAAGTCCTGTTGCAATTTTGGGATGCGTTTGTGGATCGACATCAGGATTAACACGAATAGAGACATTAAATACTACATCATACTGCTTGGCGAGTCTCATAATGAGTTCGGCTTCCGCAGTACTTTCAATATTAATAGAACAGATTCCTAAACGGGCAGCCTTTAGCAGCTCAGTTTCTGTTTTGCCGACACCGCTAAAGACAACCGTTTTTGGGTCGGCCCCAATAGATAAAACCCGTTCTAGTTCACCTCCACTAACAACATCAAATCCTGTACCTAAATTTTTGCAAAGTTTTAAAATACCTAAGTTGTCATTTGCTTTGACAGCATAGCAACATAACATATTAGTTGACGCAAAGGCTTGATGTAGTTTTTGTATTTGTTCTTCTATATGACTGGCGCTATAAACATATAGTGGCGTGCCAAATTGAGCAACGAGTTTTGAAACAGGAATCTGTTCACAGAAGAGATTCCCATGGTGTCGTGTGAAACCTGATGGTAGCCAAGGGTCTTGCCAGATGGTCATGATGCGATTCTCTTAAAGCTATTTTCGAGTAGTAGGTGTATTTTGAAAAAATATTTAATAGTCTATCAACAAGTTTGGCAATGTTGCCGAGACTTTTTCAGTATACGCTTCTATAAATACTGTTACCATACCTGTCATGGATGATCGCACGATAAAAATTGGTATGGTTGTTGGCTGGGTACAACATGGGCTTCCCCAATGGGGCAATGTACAGGAGTGCGCTGAACGTATTGTTGTCGATAACGGTACAGGTCAAACAAAAAAACTAAAACAAACAGATATAGCTATTACTGTACCGGGAACCTTGGAAGAGGTTCAAAGCATAATGGCCTCTTCTACACAAACACAAGATGCTGAGCAGCTTTGGCAACGATTAGCAACAGATCTACAGGAAACATTTACCGTTGCAGATGCTGCTAAACAACTAGGGGTTTCAGGTTTAGAGTTAGCTGTGTTGTGGCAACATTTATGGTTAGCTCCAGAATGCTTTGCTCGAGTTGGTAGGACAAAATTTCGTTTACGTACACCTCAAGAACGTGAAGCTGAAAAACAGCGATTACAGCAACGCCGACAGGAAGAGTCATTATTACAGACCTATGAACAGTTTCGTGTACGTCAGGCAGAAGGCAAGTTAGATCGGCAAGAAATTCTACAAGCACCAGAACCGGAGTGGCGTTCGATAATGCGATATCTTGCTTATGGTGAGCCTATTGAAGATCTGAGCGAACATACAATAGCTCGAATGGTAAAGTTTTTTCACGTAGTTTATGAGAGCCAAAATAGCCCTTGGCCAGAATCCTATATGTGGGCACAAGAATTGGGTGAAGTAGATGCTTGGCAGCATGGTGATCCTTTATTACAAAAACATCAGCAGTGGCTTGATTCTTGTGTTAATGACAAAGTTGACCCTGTTTCTGTAACGACACTACAGCCGCAGACAGCACTATGGGCCATTGATGATGCTGGTACACAAGATCGTGATGATGCTTTTGGTGTCCTTGAAGTCCCTGGAGAATTTATTGTTGAGATTGCGATTGCAGATGTCTCTGGTAACTCCTTTTTAACCAAACAAAATTTAGACCATTTAGCAACTGTCGCAACAAGTACCTATTTACCAACAGCGACAATCCCTTTATTACCACCGCATCTAGGTATGAATTATCATAGCCTTTCAGAGGCACAAGCCCGGCCTGTAAAACTGATACGGTTCCGTATTGATTCAAATTCAGGATCTTGGAAAAGTCCACCAGAGTTAGAAAGCGGTCTATTAAAGCTTGCAGGTACAGCAAGCTATGCTCAAATTGATACTCAAAAAAATCAGCCTCATACATGGGCTACGGCAAAACAACTGGCTGAGCTTCTATACCAAACCAGGCGTAATAATGGCGCAGGGGATATTCGTCGGCCAGATGTTTCGATTAACGTTGAGTCTGGATATCCTACAGGTTTTGTTCGACGAGAACCATGGAAAGGGGCACGAGCAGTAGTTCGTGAATTGATGATTCTTGCCAATACTGGATTTGCATACCTTTTGAAACAGGCAAAGATTGCAGCCCCTTTTCGTACCATGGATGGAAACTCGCAACCCTTATATACTCGTGTAACAACAACACCTGCACCTCATGAAGGCATTGGTGTTCTGCAGTATGTTTATGCAACAAGTCCTATCCGACGTTTTATCGATATTATTGCACAGCATCAGCTTACAGCCTTAACAACAGGAAACCCCATGAGCCAGCAACAAATAGAGCATTGGATTACTGTAAGTGAACCTGCCTTTACGCTTCGACGACGCTGGATGGAATTAGCACTAAAATATTGGAAATTACGTTATTTAGAAGCCTATCCTGATCTAGAACTAATTGCAGAGCCTGCGCCACTAAGTGGTGGTAGCCAAGACTATTTACGTGTACGTATAAGCCCTTTAGATCTTTTAGCATATCTTCCAGCAGATACTGTTGATTGGCAGCAACCATTTCCCGTTCGTCTTGAAGATGTCGATGCTGATAAAGGCGTTTTTATCGTGACAGCTCAATCTTAAATAGTGCTAAGTAGTCTTAGACTGTAATAACCAAACTAGCAATTGCTCAAGCTGTGAAAAATGACGTTTTTGTGGCAGAGGAGGAGAGACCGCTGTTACTTGTACAAACGGGCAACCAGCCAAGTCAGCAGCTTCTGCATCTATAGCGCTATCACCAATAAATAATGTATCTTTGGGATGTTGTTGCCAGCCTGATAAACACTGAATTAAACCTTGAGGGTGTGGTTTTGGGTTGCTCAACATATCAGCAGAGACAATAAAATCAAAAAAATGTAACCAGCCTAATTGTGTTAGTAAACGCTTTGTACTTGTCCCACGGTTGGTGACGATAGCTAGATGTACCTCCAGATGGTGCAGCTTTGTTAAAAGATGTGTCGCACCTTGAAGAGGTGTTATTTCATTTAGGCGATTGATATAAGGGTTCTGCTTCCGAAAGGTTGCTAACTGGTTTGCATCCTCCGGTTTGAAAAATCTTCGTTCAAGTGCATCTTTATCTAACGTATAAAAAAGTTCTTCTTCGTCTTCTGGAAATGGACGTTTGAAAAAATTAAAAAGATCACGGTTATAACGTAGTATATGCTCACGGCTATCAACAAGTGTACCGTCAAGATCAAAAATAATATGTGTATAGTTTACGGTGCTAGGCATCATTATTTATTTACACATCAATGGTATATTGATGCTGGAACGTGATATAACTGTTATAACCTAAATTCATATATAAAACGTATCGTTATTATAATTTAAAACGATATCAGGTTAAGGAGGTTTATTATGGATGATATGGACGAACGGAAAGAGAGTAGTTCTCCACTGCTAGTTATTGTACTCATAGGGCAACTGATTACACTGGTTGCTATTTGTGGAGTAGGCTGGCTAATTCAGGAGCAATTTACAGCTTTAACAACAACCTTAAAAGAAGTCGCGGCAGCTCCTGCACCGGCAGCAAGGCCTGCTGCCCCTACAAGGCCTAACCAACGACCAGAGCCTAAATTTGTTGACAATTGGCAGGAGCTTATCAGGCCTTTCAATGTTACTGTTGGGCCAAAAAACGCTCCTGTTACGATTATTGAATTTAGTGATTTTCAATGTCCGTTCTGTAGTCGTTTCTATACACAATCATATCGGCAACTTCTTGAAGCATACGGTGATAAACTGCGCTTTGTGTATAAAAACTTACCGTTGGCACAAATTCACCCAGCAGCTGTAGCTGCTGGTATTGGTTTACAGTGTGCAAATAAACAAGGTAAGGGTATTGAGATGCACGATGCCTTGTTTGATGATTTTCGTAGCATTAGTAATGAATTTATCTTAGGGCTTGGTAAAAAATTAAATCTGGGAGAAACATTCAAATCTTGCTTTGAGAATCAGGAAACAAAGCCTGAAGTAGATGCCGATACTCAAGATGCTATAAAAGCGGGAGCACGTGGAACACCAGCTTTCTTAATTAATGGTAAATTTATTTCTGGTGCTAGACCACTTGCAAGTTTTAAACAAGAAATTGATGCACTTTTAAACTAAGGGATATAAAAATTCCTGATATTTTGATAGGCTACCGTGACTTACGGTAGCCTCTTATTAACAGTTTTTATGAATGACAAGAAGGGTCCAGGTTTAATTCGAATAGATCTGGAAATTCTTCCTTAAGCTGTTGGTACCTTTGAGTTACCAGTTCTGGATTATCTTCTCCTGTACTCCATGTTCTTAATCTTGAGCTGTCATACATGAGAGCATCATCAACTGACGTTGGAATTCCACGTTGAAGTGCGCTTTTGGCTGTTCTATAAATGCAGGCACATTTATATTTACCCATAAGATAGATTTTTTGAATATTCTGTTCATTGAGGTAACTTAAAAAGCCCTCTTGAGTGTCCACAAAACCAAAATTGTCTTCAGCAAAGATACTATCTTTCTGCTTAAGAAATTGTCTAGCTTTCAATTTGCCAACAATTTCTTTTAAGCTATCATCGATAGGTTCGATATATCCATCTTCTGGTTCATAAACATTCGAATAGACAACATGCAAATTTGTTTTTACTGATTCAGGAAGATCACCTAGCCCTGTTAGCGCTTCGTTAATATTACTGTATTTAGTATGAAGCTCGGCGACATTGTCAAAATAAGCTTCAGGTTCATCAGCATCAATAACAACAATCGCAATTTTCTTACCAGAAGTCAGTTCAGTTTTTATTGATGTAAGAGTCTCCTCAACACCAGCTTCAGCTACGTGTGTTGTAAACAATATGACTAGCAGCAGTAACATCTTTCGTCTTTTGGGCAACCAAGCCTTGAATACGTTCATAATTTATAATCCTTTTTATTATGATTCTCAATAAAGTATATAAAAATATTTTTGCAAATAAGAAAATAACAAACCCCCAAAAGGGATCAATGTTTTAAAATAGGTTTAATTGATCTTTTTTAGGCGATCGTTTTTTGACCTCTCCTTGTGTTTTTAGCAATAAGCTGTCTTCAATATCCTGAAGGAAAGGTGATGGTAACATTTCTCGTTGCTTACCTTGCCAAAAACGGCGCTTCGCATGAGAGATAAATAGTCGCTCTTGTGCGCGTGTCATGCCCACAAAGAGAAGACGTCGTTCCTCTGCAAATATCTCTGGAGACGCTGTTTGTCCCCAGCTGTGTGGCATAATACCTGCTTCACAACCAACAATAAAAACGACAGGAAACTCTAACCCTTTTGCGGCATGGAGTGTTAAAAGATGGATGGTCTCAGCTCTTGGGTCCCAAGTATCAATATCTGTAGCTAACTCAACTTGTGCAATAAAGTGTTCTACACTCAGATCATCCGTGTCAATGATAGCAAGTAATTTTTCGCTAGCTAACTTCAATGCTGCTTCAAGTGTCTCAGGGGTTGCTTGAATGAGTTCTTGTGGCATGTGCTCTGTATCTAAACAAAAACTATTGGACTGCTGCAGAGCCTCTATAGCCTCTTGTAGCTGTAGGCGTATTGGTTTTTTGACACTGGGGTCTAACTGGTCAAGTAGTAAGCTGACTAGAGGTACATCAATTAAACAACGGTGATTGCGATGTTGATAGGGCATGCCAGATCGGTCTAACGCCTCTTGTAATAAGGTTAACTGAGCTTCTGTTCGGTATAGAATAGCAAAGTCATTAAAGGTATAATTGCCATCATCTTCAGCAGTTACACGATTGCTGTCTATTGAAAAAAAACTTGAACCACCAATCAAACGTTCAATAGAATGAACAACAAATTCGGCCTCAGCTTTATCTGTAAGGGTTGTTTGCAATGTTAGATTGCATTCAGCTTGACGTACAGCATCAAATTGACGATCTGTTACCAGAGAAGCCGGCTTAATTAGTTGTGCGGATGCCTCAACAATCGTTGCCTGAGAACGGTAGTTACGAGATAAATAGATCACTTTGGCATTAGGGTAATCTTGCTGAAATTGTAAAAAGAAACCAACATTAGCGCCACGAAAACCATAAATAGCTTGATCCGGGTCACCAATGGCACAAAGATTAGCTGTTTTTTGAGTAAGTGCTTGTATAATGCGGTACTGATTAGCATCGATATCTTGGTATTCATCAATAGATATATGCTGATAGCGCTGTTGTAGGGATGTACAGATTTCTGTCTGCGTCTCAAGCAATTCGGCGGTTTTTAAAATGAGGTCATCAAAATCAATGTAACCCGCATCTGTTAAGAGTTGCTGATAGATTTGAGCTTTAGGCGGTGAATCTGATTGCTTGCCCTGACGCTTCCAGGCCGAAATTTCTTTGCAGCACGCTTTAGCTTGACGCTTACTAAGGTTTTCTTGAGTCATAAGTAGCTGTAAACAAATCGTTTCATCAGCAATACGAAATGCAGGTGGTAGGGCACTTAGCTCCTGATAAGTCCGTAAAATTTCAAGACCTAAACTATGAAAAGTATGCACTGTAATCTCAGGTGCTATTTTAGGTGCTGCTTGTGCCAAACGCTCCCGCATTTCAGCTGCTGCACGCCGGGTAAACGTAATGGCAAGGCAAGCTGATGCTTGCATCTGGCCTGCCGAAATCAAATGTACAATACGCTGTGTTAATGTACGCGTTTTACCTGTACCCGGACCAGCAATCATTAATAGGGGACCCTCCGTTACTTCTAGTGCCTGTGCTTGTTGAGCATCCAGCAGCGTTGGGTCTAAACTTGGTTTCTGCGGTTTAGATGAAGGGTGCTGTTGTTGATTGCGGTTAGTAATATGTTGCAGGTTCGGGGGTGTTTTAGGTAGTGATTTAGTATCTGTTTTTGTTTGTGGTTCAACTTCAAAGAGAACTTGAACAGCACTACGCTGTCTTAACTCCGCTTCCGTAAAACATTTAATGACACCATACTCACCATCATAACCAGCTTCACGGATCACATCGCCAGTACGGATGCGTGAAACAGCTTCACTCAGTAAAGGTTCTCGTTTACGAATATCTTCAATGGGTGCTTGGTTAAGAATATAGAACTCTGAACCAAAATGATGAAGTACCTGCTCGTAACGTTGTTGTACACGTTTACTTGTAGGGCCAACACCCAAGGTTTCAGATAGTATTTCTGGGAGTGGCACAAAACTCGTATAAGGATCAACCGTTTGTGGACGTTCTCCGGGTTCTCTGTCTGCTAAGCTATTGACACGGTGCTGTACGCCGACCGTAATGATACGTCCACAGCTAGGGCAGCGCCCTTCTAAGGCTAACGTCTCTTTAGGAGCAAGGCGGACACCGCATTTACGGCAACCGTCCATATGATATTTGCCCTCTTCTGGGAAAAATTCGAGTGTGCCTCCATAACCCTCACCTGTTTCTAAGGCCTGTTTCATCGAAAAGTAGTTCATATCTGTATGAAACAGGCAGGCTTCACGTCCCAATTTTGGAGGTGAGTGAGCATCAGAATTAGACATAAAACGATATTTGTCTAGCATAGATAGACGCCAGTTCATTTCAGGGTCTGATGATAACCCTGTCTCGATGGCAAAAATATGATCTGCCAGATCACCATAACAATCATCAATAGAATCAAATCCACCTTTATCACCAAGTACGGCAAACCAAGGTGTCCAAATATGAGCTGGAACAAGATAAGACGCTGGATCCGATTCTAGGCAAATTTCTAATAAGTTTCTAGAGTCTAAGCCTAAAATGGGCCGGCCATCTGATTTGAGATTCCCAATTTTATCTAGACTGGTAATCATTTTTTCGGCCGCAATAACCGAGGGTGCATATAGTAAATGATGAATTTTACGTGTTTTATCACCTTTTTTATAGATCGTTGAGATTTCAACTTCTAACATAAAGCGTGTCGGTTGAGTGCTGTTTCCTGGGCCTAGCTCTTGTTCCACCCAGTGCTCAATGTCAGGTTTTAGACGAAAAAGGCCTGGTTCGGCTGGAATAAGTTTATCCTTGATTTCTTGAATCCAAGCAGGGTGTGTAAAATCACCAGTACCAATAACATGAATACCTTTTTTACGGGCCCATAGGGACATATGTTCTAGATCTGCATTTTTACTTGTGGCACGAGAATATTTTGAATGGACATGAAGATCAGCGTAAAACATAACAAATGATCAATCCTTCCCCCTAGAAAGTGAAACTAATGATCAAGCTTAGCAGATTTTTACATAAATGCATATATAGAATTTAGAAAT